AGCCGGATTAAGGACAATTAGTGCTGGGTTTCCGTATACCTTACTCTTACGGAATGAGGCTGTTGGGCTTCCAACTTTTTGGGGCTATTTTATTTTATACCCTGAGCCCTAAACCCTACCCCGCCATCCCCCACTCCCCTCCAAGCTCTAAGTCCCACATCTTCAATGCCCAAAACACTGAACTCAGAACCTTTAGGGTTTAGGGCTATAGGGCTCCTGGACCGTAGCCGGTTATGCAGTCATAGAAGGTCCATAGCATCTGTTGCGATGTAGGTGCCTCCGGACCAGTCTGCTGTCCATGCAATTGCAACCATCATCGCGGGGTGTTTCAGGGTTTAGGGTTCTAAGGGTCCCTCATACCGTAGATCCGCCATCCCGTTTTGAACGGAGCGAAGGAGTCGAGCAACGACCTCACCGGAATGTGTGGTGTGATGGAGCTGCACCCGACATAGTACAGCCAAAAGCATGCACCCTAAGATGCCTCCTAGCGCCCAGCCAGCATACCATAGAAGTTCAAGCCCTGCATGCAGTCCTTAAACCTCCCTAAACCCTAAACCCTAAACCCTAACCGCGTAAACCCTAAACCGAAGAAAGCAAACTTGAAAGCCGCCCTCAAGGAGGAGCTTCGAAGATCACAGATGCTTCTGTATAGACGCCTTGTAAGACATGAGGGTGTCAGGTTTAAGGACTCCTAACGAAGCTTAATAGTTTAGGGTTTATAGGGTTTAGGGTTTAGGGACGTCCGTTAAAACTCTGTGATCTTAAGTTCAGACAAGCATAAAACGGAACCCCTCGGACGCGGACCCGGCATAGTAGAGCCCCTGCTGAAACCGCAGCAGTCGGGGAGCTCCTTCAACAAAAACACAACCCAGACACTAGAATACTCTTAATCACATCCATGCTCCGTTTCGCAAATAGTATCTGATAAAACGCATAAACAACACTAGAGCCTAAACATTACAAGACATGACAGACATACTACAGGTACTATAGTATGTTCTAAAATGCCGTCTTCACTTATTAAGGCCCCAATGTTGCCGCAGAGCTTTCCGGAGAAATACTTTAAACCCTAAACCCCAAAGGCACCCGTGTCCCAGTATTACCCGTTGAACAAGCAGCTCCAGAGCTTACTGCGCCCGGGCCGGTGTTCACGGTTTAGGGTTTCGGGGTGTAGGGTTTAGGGGTGTAGGTTTTAGGGCTAAGGGTTTAGGGTTTAGGGGTGTAGGGGCGTAGGGTTTAGGGCATAGGGTTTAGGGGTTTAGGGTTTGGGGTTTAGGGCTTAGGGTTTATGTTTGTATGGTCTCTCTATGAATGTTTGTATCCCTTTCTTCTCTCTCTCTCTCTCTGTCTCCCTCTCTCTCTCTCTATACATATATATATATATATACCGTTATGTATATATATATATATATATACACATACATGTACGCACTTTTAGGCATGTAAATATATATATATATATATATGCACATCATTACTGTTTGTATTTCCCTGTTTGTGCGGGTTTTAGGTGTTCGAACTATTGCTTTAGGGATATATATATATATACACATAAATATGTCCGTGTGCGTGTGTGTGTGTGTGCTGAGTTTAGTCTTTCAGGTGTGGCGGTGCAGAGGGATCTAGCTTATTTGTTTCTTTGTGCGTGTGTTTGTACGGTTTCAGGATTCATGTTCAGAAGAGCGTCCTGAGGGTTGAACAGGGCTCGTTCAAAATCCTACAGGTTTTAGATGAGTGATCTAATATGGGGTGCCTCAATAGTTGAAATAGGATTTGGGGGGTACATTATGCTATATTTATGCGAAGGAACCCCCACAAACCCTTTTCTAATTATATAGGCCCCTATGTCATGGAGGGCTTTTGGTTTCGAGGACGTGACGGACCAGTGCTTTAGGGTCTATAGGGTCAAAGGGGCCAGCTTTCGGACTCAGGGTCTAGGGTTTCCTCACGACGGCACCCTAAAGCCTGAAGCCTAAACCCAAAGCCCTGTGGAACACCAGGTTTAGGGTTTAGGGTTTAGGGTTTAGGGTAAAGTGCTGCTTGCTGACTTGTGCCTTTGGAGAGAAAGGCTTCCGTAGCCTTAAACAGGTCCTGTTCTTCGAGGGCTAGGGTTGCATGGCAAAGGGTGGCACGTGGCTTTACAGGTGCTTTTCGGATTCTCCGCCTTCACTCAAGCGGTTCGGTTTCGGGGTTTCGTGGTGTCTGCAACGAGATGCCGAAACGGCTGCCACCATCTTCCCTTCACAAAGCCTGGTTGAGTTCCCGAACCCGCGGCACGCTAGGTTTAGGGTTAGCGTCGCCGCAGAGTCCTCATCAACAATTGACTCCATTTTCCATCGAGCCTGCGGAATTGCAATTGCTAAATGAGCACGCCGCAAACGCTAAGGAGGGAACAAGTACGGACAAATTCCTGGGAGTTCGGTTAGCTCTATAATGGTAAAGGAAGTTCAGAACCTAAGCCCTAAACCGTGGAAAGCAGCCATTGAAAGCGATCCAGTCAGGGTTTGAAGGAATGGGACCGAAAACGCTAACCCCCTAAGGTACTGGTGGGCGCCAGACACGATGTTCGCTCTGGACGATCCAAACATGATCATTTTTCCGAAGTCGCCTGGATCAAGATGTGTATTGCCTCAAACCCCTTAACCTCAAACCCTCGCACTCAAGTTATCTCAACCCTAAAGCCTAATCTTCTGAACCCAAAGCCCGAAAACTTAAGCCCAAACCTCAGACCCTAAACCCTAAACCCTAGTCCTAACCCCTAAACCCTCAGCCTTAAACCCTAAACCCTAATCCGTAAACCCTAAACCCTGAACCCTAATCCCTAAACCCTAAACTGTCCTAAACAAAGAGGCCCCCTCATTTTGAAAGAAATCGCGGTGTCGCTGTACGTCGAGTTGAGGGCTTGGGACGTTGGGTTTTGGAGGAATGCCGACCCCAGCCCTGGAAGAAAGTACTTCTTAGGTTTAGGGTTTAGGGGGTTTATAGGGGTGTAGGGTTTAGGGTATACGGTATAGGTTTAGGGTTTAGGGGTTTATAGGGGTGTGGGGTTTAGTGTATAGGGTTTAGGGGTTTAGGGTATACGGTTTAGGGGTTTAGGGTTTAGGGGTTTAGGGTTTAGTTTAGGGGTTTAGGGTTTAGGGGTTTAGAGTTTACGGGTTTAGGGGTGTAGGGTTTGGGGGTTTAGGGGTTTGAGATTTAGGGGTGTAGGGTTTAGGGTATAGGGTTTTGAGTTTAGGATTTAGGGTTTAGGGTTGTTCGACATTCAAGGTGGTAGTACTTGCAGCTTAGTAGCTGGTACGGGTTCTACACTGTGAACAGTTTCGAGCACTCGGGTTTCATGCCTTCCGAACTCCTGAGCCTTCTAAACCCTTACTTGGGGGCACTTTGCAGGTAAGGTTATAAGTCAAAATCGCAATCAAGGCACCTACATCTTATAAGTACCTTGATTGCGATTTTAAGTAACTGTAAGTATAGTTACCGTAGAACAAGAACCGTAGTTACTGTGCTCAGTCCCATCATCCTTTAAGGTACCCTTTGAAAGATGTAGATGACCGTGCAGGGCCCAGTGAGTGCACGGTTGGAATTGTATCATCCGGACGAGCCTAACCCTCTCAAAAGGAAAACCGAAAGCCTGAGAACATTCAACAAGTGGGCGGCGAGGTTCAAGGTTTGAAACTAAGGGTTTCTCGGCGATCGTCGTCTTGTTCTTCTTGCCATCGCTGTCTTCTGGCTTCGCTGACTTCCTCGTTAGGGCTCGTGGGTGTTTAAGGTTTAGGATTTCAGGGTGTGTGGGTCTGCAGGGTTCCAAAGCAACTGTGCGAATCATCCGAGGAACAATGCCAGAGAGTATGCGGCTGGCCTCTACAGAACGGCCAAGGACCGCAGAAGCTTAAAGCATAGTATAAACCGCCAATAAACAAAGTTCACAGTTTAGACCCCCTGGCAGGCTTGGCTATTTTGGAGTCCGATTTATTATGGCATCAACCGCTACCTGGACCTGTCGATTTCCTTATATAAACATATATACGTCCTTAAAAGGTAGGTTACTTGGGCTCCAGGTAATCCTCGACCCCACCTGGGCCGTTATATATGGACTCTGACCCATTCAAAGCAGTCCGATGGGGCCGGGCTTTCTTAATGCGGCTGTGGGTTCCTTAAACATACCCCCCCAAACCCTATAATTAAGGCCCCTACATGATCTAAAAAGTATACACTTTGGCCTCACCCCAAAGGGTTCCTACACCGGTACCTTTCAAGCCCTAAGTATCTACTATAGAGGTAGATGGAGTCTTAGAGTACCTTGAACCGACCTAAACTCCTTCCCGAAGCCAAACCTTGCAAAACCCAAAACCCCCAGTATAGAACCCCTTTGAGATGAGGCCAAAGTATATACTTTTGGAGAATGGAGGGGCCTCAATAATTAGAACAAGAATTGGGGGTACTAAACCCTAAACCCTAAACCCTAAACCCTAAACTCTAATCTCTAAACCGTTCGTTTGAACCCGAAAGCTGGGTCACACGGAAGGATCGCGAACCCTAAACCCTAAACCCTAAACCCTAAACCCTAAATCCTAAACCCTGAACCCTAAACCCTAAACCCTAAAGGATCGTGCGATCCTGTCCAACTGGATCGCTGGCGGCTTGGGCCGGTGACTTGCAGAATTTGGATCCCAGGGAATCCCTAACTTAGGGTTTACATATTAGGGTTTAGGGCTTCTTGGTTTAGGGTTTAAGGTTTAGGGTTCAGGGTTTAGGGTTAAGGGTTTAAGGTTTGGGGTTTAGGGTTTGTGTTTCGGCCCTGGAACCCCAGAGTCTTTTTATTTCTTTTATAGGGCTTTATAGTGTGTGAGGCTTTGGGCTAGGGTTTAGGGTTTAGGGTTTAGGGTTTAGGGTTATTTGTTTTTAGGGCTTTATAGTGTGTGAGGCTTTGGGCTAGGGTTTGGGGTCTAAGCCTACCAACCCTGATGCCCTCCAACCGTGAACTCGAAGAGCCTACCGGTGCCTAATGTCGGGGCCTTAAACGTCAAATAGGGGCCCTAAATAATTAGAAGAGGGTGTTGGGGTTCCTTTAAAGGGTTCTATAAGGGGCTACTATGAGGGTTTAGGGTTTAGGCAATAGTTACCTGTGTTTTTTGGGGGGCTCCGCTTTATAACTGTAGTAGAGTATAGTACAATGGGTCCCAAAAACCCTATTCTAATTAGTAAGGCCCCTATATACCCAAAACCCGTGATAGTACCCTTAAAGAACCCTGTAAGGAACGCTTCATAAAGGAACCCCAGAACCCTCTTCTAATTATTAAGGCCCGTATTTGACATCATCCTGGAGCCCTTTAAACTCCAAAGCCCGGATCCCTAAACTCTCAAGGCCTGAACTCCACTTAGAATAGGGTGTTGTGGCGGATTATACTATCTTTTTAGTAAGGAACCCCGCAACAAATGTTCAAGGCTTGAGTGATTCTAGGATGAACGCTCCAGCAAACAAGGCCTTAAGCTCTTGAGGGGCAGATCTAAGGCTCTTGATTGGTTGGTCCAGGGCTTCGGGTTTCGAGTTCTGTTTGTAGGATTGTAGGTCGCCTGCAATTGGCCAGAATTTGCCGCATGTGTCGCTGCCCTAAACCCCAAACCTTTGACCCCACACCCTAAACTCTAATGATGGCTACCCGACGTCGAATACTTGTGCTTGCCTATACGTTGGCCCTTAAGAAGTTACAGAATATGGGAACTCTGCTTTACGTCTGAGCATATACCGTCAAAGTACATGGACCCTATGAAACGCTATACTAAGCCCAGTAAAACCCTCTATACAACCCTTATCGGAGCGCTAATGGGAACCTTTAAAGGAACGTAAGGTACCTGCCCTTACAATAAGGTATGTGTGTGAACAAACGAGCAGAAACGGATGCCAATGAGTTTGGAGCAAAATCCCTGCGGCTCCGCGGGTATATGTAGTACTTAAAGAAGTTCCTTTGGATAATTAGGCCTTAAAAGGTTCCTATAGGGCTACTTTAAATGGCCGAAGTCGAGTTGGCTTTGGTCTATACTCCCGAGGGCTGCAGGTTTGCCCTGACTTTCGGTGGCATAATCCCTACAGCGTTGGTTTGCAAGTTCAGCGAGAACCAGCAGGATGTGAAGCCTACGGAAGACTTCTGCTTCCACTCAGGTCGCTGTCGTTACCGCGGACTGGTGAATGGTCTGTCCGACTCCGAGCTCATTGGGAAGTACGGTGGCACCAAGGCCCGTGCTATTGCTGCTACGGTGCTAGGAGCGGGCACACCTCTGCAAGATGGGCAATCACTTTGGCGGTGGACACGTTGCATGACGTGGTGTCGCGGGTCATCGACACGAAGATGGCTCTCCTGCAGCCGATGGACAAAATTCAGAAGCTGCTGTCTGCCACGGAGAAGTCCGGCCAGTCTGCTCTACGGAGCACGTTGGAATCCCTACGCGCTGACCAGCTCAAGGAGATTAAAGCTGAGTTGGACAATGTGCAAACAGGGTTTAGGGTTCAGAGTTGAGGGTTTAAGGATTTAGGGCTTAAGTCTATGGCCCAGAACCTAGACTCCGCCAACAGTCCTCCACCCAACAAGCCGGAGAAACTGTATGATGAGTAATAGTATGCCCTATACATAAAGGATCATGGGACCTAGTAAGTAGGGTTATATCTGAGGTACCTATACTTATAACCCCAGTTGGGGGACTTATAGCCTTACTCACTAAGTCCGATGATCCTCCCAGTATGGCCCGTATATAACTTCAATATCCCCACATTCGATATCTTAAGTCCACAATACGATGGAAACCCTAAAAGACGGACGGCCTCAATCTAAATCCTTTCTAAATACGAAGGGCCCAAGATTGATGGGAGGATCACGAGAGTTTGTATGTAAGGTTGTAAGCACCTAGTGTTTAATTGGAGTCGGAAGCAGTTATTGAAGTTATTGGGGTTCAGGGTTTAGGGTTTGGGTATACTTATGGTTACCTTTTTATTGACCTTAGCTACTAAGTCCCACGACCCTTTGAGTCTTAAGCAATGCAGGGGCCGACATAATTCCCAATACCAATACTATTCTGGGGATTATAACTACAGTATAATGGGCCCCCCAAAAGCCTATTCTAACTATTAAGGCCCCTAACATCGAACCCTATCATCGATTCCTTATAGAACCCTTCGAAGATCCATGTAAAGGAACCCTATTCTAATTATCAAGGCCCGTATATTACGTGCCTCGACGAGGTCGGATATCCGGGATGCGTTGCAGCTCGTGCGCAAACTGCACTTCACAGACGAGGCGGTCCGAGAACAGACCCTGGTTTGGGGTTTAGGGTTTATTTGGGGTTTAGGGTTTAGGGTTTATGGAGGGTCCA